GTTGAGTCTTTCCGTGAGCCCGTTGGTCTGCGGGTGGTACGCCGTGGTGCGACGATGGCTGGTGTGGCTGACACACAGGATTTCTTGGGTCACCTGCGCCATGAACGATGATCCGCGATCTGTAATCAGAACTTCGGGAGCGCCGTGCCGGAGGACGATGGACTTGATGAAAAACTTGGCGACTTCCACAGCAGTCCCTGAAGGGAGGGCTTTCGTTTCGGCGTACCGCGTGAGATAATCTGTGGCGACGATTATCCAGCGGTTTCCCAACGTTGACGGCGGAAAAAGGCCAAGTAGGTCCATTCCGATCTGCTGGAATGGTGCGGTGGGGGGAGCAATGGGCTGCAGGAGACCTGCCGGCTTCATTGGCGGTTTCTTACATCCCTGGCACTCGTGGCACGATCGGGTGTAGAGGTCGACGGCTTTGGGGAGCTTTGGCCAGTAATACTTTTCATTTATACGGGCCAGTGTTTGGCTGTAACCGAAGTGCCCGACGTCGGGTCGTCGTGACATGCTTGAAAGATCTCCTCCCGAAGGTCGGTCGGGATTACCAGCAACCACGGTGTGCTGTTGTCGCCGAAGTTCTCTTTGTCGAGTACACCTTGTCGAATGGCGAAGGTCGGCAATACTCGTGAGAAGACACGTGGCACGCTACCCCCACCCCCTTCCAGGTGCTCGGTTAATGCGCGCAGCTCAGGATCGTTCCGTTCACGTCGTGCCATGTCGTCGGCGTTTACTGCTCCTAGGAAGCTCTTGTCGTCATTGTCGTCGCTGCAGCCGGAAGGGGTTTCGACGGGGGCTCTGGACAAGTAGTCGGCGTCGCTGTGCTTGCGGCCCGACTTGTAGACCACTGTCATGTTGAACTCTTGTAGCCGGAGGCTCCATCGAGCGAGGCGTCCTGACGGGTCCTTCAGGTTAGCAAGCCAGCAGAGCGAGTGGTGGTCCGTGACTACACGAAACGGGCTCCCGTACAAGTACGGGCGGAACTTCGTGATTGCCCAGACGACCGCAAGACACTCTTTTTCAGTCGTGGAGTAATTTCTCTCCGATTTGGACAGCGTTCGACTCGCGTAGGCGATGACTCGCTCGGCGCCTTGTTGCACTTGAACCAGTACCGCTCCAAGTCCTGCATTACTTGCGTCCTTGTGAATCTCGGTTTCCGCATCCCGATCGAAACGTCCAATAACAGGCGGAGTCTGGAGTAGACAAGTCAGCTCGTCGAATGCCTGCTGCTGTTCCTCGGCCCATTCGAACTTCTCGGCGGCCTTCGTGAGGTTTGTGAGCGGTGCGGAAATCCTTGCGAAATCCCGAACGAAGCGTCGATAGTAGGCACAAAGTCCGATGAATCTTCGCACGGCCTTCTTGTCTCTCGGCGCTGGAAATGCCGCGACGGCGCGAGTCTTCTCGGAGTCTGGGTGGACGCCTTCGTTACTAACCACGTGGCCTAGGAGCTTCAGTTCGTCATAGGCGAACCGGCACTTTGACGGCTTGAGAGTGAGCCCGGCGGTCTGTATGGCATGGAGAACCGCGCGGAGTCGTCGCAAGTGCGCGTCGAAGTCGGCTGAAAATACTACGACGTCGTCAAGGTAGACGAGACAACTCTGCCACTTCAGCCCTGCCAGTACGGTGTCCATGACACGCTGGAAGTTTGCTGCCGCCGTGCATAGTCCGAAGGGCATCACCTTGAACTCGTACAGTCCATCCGGCGTGACGAAGGCTGTCTTCTCTCGGTCCCGTTCGTCGACCTCGATTTGCCAGTAGCCGCTCTTCAGGTCCATCGATGAAAAGTATCGAGAGTGGCGCAGCCGGTCTAGAGTATCGTCGATGCGGGGGAGTGGGTAGACGTCTTTCTTCGCAACCGTGTTGAGCTGCCGGTAGTCCACGTAGAACCGAAGAGTTCCGTCCTTCTCCTTAACCAGCACGACTGGAGAGGCCCACGGACTGCTTGAAGGTTGGATTATGTCGTCATTCAGCATCTCTTGAACTTGCTGCTGGATCACCTCCCTTTCCTTAGCGCAGACTCCGTACGGCGATCGATGCACAGGGCGCGCGTCGTCCTCGGCAAAGATGCGGTGCAAGGCAACCGCGGTCTGGCGCACCTTCGACGACGTCGCAAAGCAGCCGCGGTAATCGGCGAGGAGGTTAACCAGCTGACGTTTTTTAGTTTCCGGAAGCTTAGGGGTCAATGTCGAGCTGCGCTGGCGGCGTACAGTCTTGCTGGGGCGGCGAAGATTCGTCAGTAATCGCGGTGATTTCGGCGGGGTTTCGGAGTTCCTCGACGTGGCCCACGGCTGCACCTTTTGTGAGGTGTTGCGTTTCGTTTCGGAAGTTCGTCACGAGGGCCACAGTCAGCCTATCCTGAAGTTCAGCTACTCACCTTCCGACGCCTACGCCTCTTCCCAGGAGCAATTGGAGGCTTCCCTCGCGAAGAACTTCGCCACAGGAAGCTTCATCGACCCCGACAAGTACGAAAGCACTCGACCGCGGTGGTAGGTTTACGTGGTTTGCGAGGACTCGGACCGTGGGTGACGTCGCTTGGCGTTCCTCCGCTGGTGGAGCAGGTTTTCATAGAGTCAGCCGGTTTGTTCTGAGGTCAATGACGGCGCCATACTCGCAGAGAAAGTCCATTCCGAGGATAACGTCCCTCGAACAGTCTTGCAGAACGACGAACTTGACAGGGCACGTTTCACCGTGGATCTCGACGCGAGCAGTGCATCTCCCGACTGGTGTGATGAGATCTCCTCCGGCGGTTCGTATTTGGGGTCCTTCCCACGGCGTCATGACTTTTCGAAGGCGGCGGGAGAGCCTCCCACTCAAGACTGAGTAGTCTGCTCCGGTGTCCACGAGTGCTGATGCGTCGGGGCCGTCGATTACGACGTTTAGGTTGTTGGACACCGTTGCAGGGGCCTCGTAGCGATGCGTGGCGTAGGGAGAGTGGGAGCGCTCCGGCGTTCTTGGAGGCTCTTTACTCGGGTTGTCTTCGGCAACGGCACCTCCAGGCGTTGCCGCACTTAGTTTTCTCGACGAGATAGGGGGGACAGGCTGTCACGGCGCGACCGACGGAAAGGCGACGCGGAACGTCGGGTGGATGGAGAACGGGAACCTCATGGTGCGGTGGGCGCTGGTGAAGGAGGGCGACGGAGGTATTCCTCGATGTCCCTTGGTCGTTCTCCAAAACGAGGTCGACGGTCGTTTGGAGCGAATCCTCGCAGGCCGAGCTGGCGGTAGGGGCACCTCCGGTAAACGTGGTCAGCCTCCCCGCAGTGGAAGCACACCGGGCGTCCGTCATCCGTGCGCCACACGTCGGTCTCTCGAAGTCCACGCTGCTCTTGGCGCGGCGCGTACTGCGGCGAAGAGACTTCTCGTCGGGGTGCAGCTGGGTACTGCCGAGGAGTAGGAGGCTGCGGACGACGAACAGCGGCGACATAGGTCAGAGGTGGTGGTTCCGGTGCGGCGTCGGCGAGAACGTCTGGCTGGAGCGCTTGCTGGACCTCTACTCGAACAATCTCGGCGATCGAGAGTGAAGCTGGACGTTCGGCGGCAGGTATCAGCTTCTTCAGTTCTTCACGGACGATGTCCCGGACTATTTCTCGGATCCCCGGAATATTGGGGCTGAGGGCGCAGTTTGACGGCGTGGGTGCAGCGACGACAGGAGCTCGATGAATGTGAGCGGCTCGTGCTTGCAGGGCCCGTTCAATGTTGGTCGCCTCTGTTACAAACGTTTCGACGGTGGTCGGCGGGTTGTGGACGAGGCCTCCGAAGATGTCATCTCGTACGCCTCTCATCAGGATCCGCAACTTCTTTTCGTCGGTGGCTTGAGGGTCGGCGCGAGTGACCAGGCGCAGGACATCCTCGACGAAACTGGTGATCGTCTCGTTTGCGCCCTGGGTTCTCATTCGAAGAAGGTCCTCGGCCCTCTCCCGTCGATACTGGTTAGTGAAAGTTCGCCTCAACTCGTTCTTGCAGGCGCTCCACGAGATCAAGGAAGTCTTCCGATTCTCAAACCAGTGCCTGGCCGTTCCTTCGAGCGCGAAGTAAAGGTTCTGCAGGCGCTGGTTGTCCGTCCATCGGTTGTGCTCGGCCACCCGCTCGTACTGTTGAAGCCAGTCCTCGACGTCTTCGTGCGCTTCCCCGTGGAATGGCGTCGGAGTCCGGGGTGCGACGGGCAGGTAGATGAAGGCAGGAGCGGCCGGAGTCTGCGACTGGTTGGCCATCGTCATCTTCTTCGGCTTGGGCTTGTCCAGTAACGAACCGCATTCAGAATCCTCTCCCTTGATGCGCCGGCTGGTCCGTGTTTCGGGTTCCGCGGTGAGTGGTCCCTTCACTGGGCTTGGAACCGAACTTGCACTGCGGGCTCTTGAAGGGGAACGCTGCACAGGCATGCGGTACCCAGCACCTCCACCAAAAATGTCACAAATAAACAGGCGAGAAAACAAAGAAAAACTGGAGAAACTTAAACGTTTAATGGGGCGAACTTGTGCCCAAAAATAAAAGGGTACAAAAAATAATAACAGAGCGTCGCGGGAGTCGAAGTCGGCGTAATAGCTGAGTCGAACGCTTTGGCGAGAATGACTCCGCTCGCCTCGCGGAATCCCTTATGTACCCTCGTGGGTTTCTGGATCGTTCGGCGTAGAAGGTTGGGCGCGTAGAACATTCTTGCCTCGAACAAGCCCAACATGGTTCTCGAATTTACCAGAACATTAATTTACAGAGTCAACAAAAATGCGCCTCCGCTGCCAGGAATCGAACCCTGGCTTTCAGCGCGGAAAGCACTCGCGACAACCGTTGGACCACGAGCGCGCTGCCTTCTTGGCCAGCTGCGCTCGCGGCAATACTGTATTATTTTGGAAACGAAGACTTCTAAGTAATTCTGATATCTTAATAACGTTCTAAAAATATAACTGTTTGCTACAACCAATTTATTTTTTCACAGGCTTATGTAGCATATTTTTGCAGCATATGGTCTACTCCACTCTTTAAAAGCATTTACTACGTTTCAGGGAGCAGGAATTGCCACACTGCTTGCTATCATTCTTCAGATGTGGCTTATGGGGGAGAAACTCCGCCTTGGCGTAAAACCGACTCGAATGCCTGTCACCGTTGACTACTGCCCAGTGAACACGACAAGTCTACAAACAACCGTGGATGACACTTTTCCACATGAGTACAATACGCCTTTTTATCCGTTTCTTGTTGTCTAATGCTCTTACAAACAGTTTCACTTTAAGAAATCCCATGTTTCAATAATGTACGGATAATTCAAACGTAAAAATTGGGGAATTGTGCAAAGAAATCACAGTGTATGTCGCACATATTCCAGCCAACAAAAACTTTATATTATATGTATACGTGATCGCTTGGTTATCCTATTATTTGGAAAGCTTGATCCACGCACATGTTTTTAAAACTGAATCTCATAATTCGTGCAATAGGAGTTTGCTGCCACATGTAGCAAGAAGGTGGTCGAAGGCTATATTACTATTGGTTGAAGATTGAGCTAATGGACATTCGTTTTGAAATCATATAAGCAGCTCTAAATATTTGTGCGAGGGCACCACAACTACGTGGTGCTTTTGCAAACGTAGAACGTCTAAACGTTCATGAAAGGCCCGTTGCTCTTGCAAAGGTCTCCATCGCAAAGATTTCAGCTCTTGGTGTGCATTATGTTGAAATTTTATCCAGCGCTCTTTTTGTTTTCCTTTAGTCAGTAGTCGGTTTGATGGAAACTTTGCGTTAGGTATTTTTACCACTGGAGAGAAGTATAGTGCGGAAAATTTTATTTACTAGGTTGGTCAGCATAGCAGTTACTAGCAAAAAGCCGAAATGATTTAATTAGTTAGGAAATTAGCTCAAACGCCTCGATTCAAACTTTTTTATATAAATCTTTATTTTTGAAACATTGCAAATGAAATTAACTTTCGGCCGTCAATTCGTGCCGTGAAATTTCCATTAAAATTTGTTCGATCTCTGCGGGCGAGAAATGTCAACCTAGTACACGGCTTCAAACTGACGCTAATTCAGCAAACAACACTGTTAATGTCAATCCCAGCGTCCACCGCCGGCTCCGCAAGCGAAGCCAGCTGCGATAAGGCCGCTCCTTGCCCGCTTAGTTTTTATTTACAGCCAGGGTGATTTTTCTCTCCCCTTTGTGTCCACTACGAATTTTATAATCGAAATTTCACGGCACGGCTAATTCGTATTGAGGCCGAGCGTATATGCTTCAAACAAACTATGCCCCCCAAAAGTTGAAAATATAACGTTCATTATTTTAGTGAATTGGTGAAATAATGAACCGATTTCTATTTTCTTTTTTTTTTTGTTGGCCGCTATAGCCAATAATTTAGCCCTAGTGCTGGATACCCATAACACACATTCTCGTTTTTTTTTTTATGGATCGGCTAACAAATGCATCGTGCATACTAAATTGAAAAAATGCCAACCTTTTGATATTGCGTAATTAGCGTCCTCAGCAAAAGTTGCAAGGAGTTCGATAAAAAATTGAAAAAAAACGGCGAGGCCTAAATAATTGCAATAGAAAAACAATAACATTATCCACTTTTAACTTGGTTAATGTTTCTGGAGCTGTTGCTATATGGTTTCGGATCTAGCACTCAGTGCTGTGTTGTTATTACTTAAAATGAAAAACCACTAAAATGCACATTGCGCAATCAAATTGACGATGATTGATTGATGTTTCTTCATTGAGAGGTTACTACTATAAGTGTGAAAAAGTTAATGGAAGGGAAAATCAAACACCTTGCCACTAAGGAAGAAACAGTAAGAAGAACTTCGGAATAATTTATATTGCTGCTCCACTCCCGCCATGTACAATTTAAAACACTCACGTTTTGTTAGGCCATAACTACGAAGCCATACAATTTTAACTCAGTCAAGGCGTTCAGCTACAGACCAACAACAATGTATACGATTCAAATTGTCTCACATTTTTAAACATGGACAGCAAATTTTGTCAGAAGAACAAATGAAATCGTTCTTGCTTCGTAGCATGCGTAAACTTCATATTTCAATATGGTTCACTCATCATGAGAAAGTCGTATTCCTGAAGAAGTTTGATATCGTATTTCCGCTGAAGCAATAAACACGTCTAGATGATAGATAAAAATCGTAACGGTGCAGACAAGCTGGTAAATATTAACCATGAATTAGCCTGAGACTGCGGTAGAGAAGAAACATCAAAGCGTAGAAGGGACAGAAAATGGACAGGACAACGTCTCAAACTCAGCTAACTCGTTTATTTAGTCCACCTTTTTATATAGTCTCAATCTCAAGGTCATGTCCACCCACACAGAAGGACGAAGTTCATACAGTTCAAGCGCCACAGTCTTCACCACACAATTCAAGAACGTTGACAACCTTCACAGGTCGATGCGATAAGGCAACATTCATCAACCTTCGAACTTGAACAAAAAGATCTTTTCCCCTGCTATTCTAAACACATTACATACTTCAGAATCATAACACGCCCCTTCCACATAAAACAAAAAGTAACACTGAAACGCTAGTTGGGCCAATGCACGTAGAGAGCCACACAGAGCAAAAAATGTTTTACTCTTTTTTTTTTTTTTGGAAAATCACAAGCAGGTCGTACTTCAAACAAACAGAATGGCAAAAAAAAAGTTTTAAAAAGCTTTTTGAATTGCTTCCAAACTGAAGTGAAGGCTGACTTATGCAGTTGCCTAGAGACTTTATCCGCACGGTCTCCCTTACTACTCTCTTTACATCGTTTTTCTCTTTGTGTAGAGCGCCGCGCAGTTGTTACATTCATGAATATGTTTTGCTATTTCCGAGTTTTGTGCATTGTTCTTTACGTTTCTTTTATGTTCGTGTAATCTGTCATTTAGGCAGCGTGACGTCTGCCCTACATACTTAAATCCACACTCCAGTGGTATCTCATACACAACACCGGTCTCGCAACATCACGATTTGTTCCGATGAGCCTTTTTGCACTCACTCACATGTTTGAATTAAAGGCAGGAGAGAAACCGAACAGAAAAGAAGGAACCGCTTTGCTGTAATCCCATATTTTCATGCGATCTCTCACAACCTGAAGTCATGTGCGAGGCAGTTTGGAGTAGACACGGTCCTTAGTTCAGATTTTAGATTAAGCAAACTGACGCCATTTCAAACAGCTGTGACTGAGTGCAAAAAGGCTCATCGGGAAAAATCGGTATGTTGCGAGACTGGTGCTGTGTATGAGACACCATTGAAGTGTTGACTTAAGTACGTAGGACACACGTCACGATGAATAATGACAGATTAAACGAACGTAAAACAAATGTAAAGAACAATGCACTAAACTCTAAAATAGCAAAACATATTCATGCATGTAACAACTACACGGCGCTCTGGTCAGAGACGGAAATAATACACAAAAAGATGAACGATGTAAAGAGAGTAGTAAGGGAGACTACGGGAAAGGTCTCTAGGCAACTGCATAAGTCAGGCTTCACTACAGTTTAGAAGTAATTCAAAAAGCTTTCTAAAAATGTATTTTTTTGCCATTCTGGTTGTTTGAAGTGCGACCTGCTTGTGATTTTCCAAAAACCAGTAAAACATTTTTCTTTTGCGTGGTTCTTTACGTGTATTGGCCCAACTACCGTTTCAGTGTCGTTTTTTATGTGGAGAGGGCGTGTTATGATTCAGAAGTATGAACTGTGTTTAGAATAGCAGGGGAAGAGATCCTTTTGTTCATGTTTAAAGGTGGATGGATGTTGTTTTATCGCGTCGACCTTTAAAGGTTTTCATCGTTCTTGCATTGCGTGATGAAGACTGTGGCGCTTGAACTGTATAAACTTCGTCCTTTCGTGTTAGTGGAGATGACCCTGAGATTGAGACTATATAAAAAGGTGGGCTAAATGAACGGGTCCGCCGGGTTTGAGACGTCGTCCTGTCTATTTTCTGTCCCTTCTGCGTTTTGATGTTTCTTGTCTACCCCAGTCTTAGGTTAATTCAACATGGATAGATGATAGATGTCAGCTTGAGCCGCAAGACCTCACCAAAATAACACAATTTCTTTCACCAGTACCAGCGGCACGTTTATCCTGTTCCAACTGTCTTCATATTGGAGTAACCTGTTCAGCGTCCTGTTCACCATTTCCATAGGATTGATTATCAGCATGCTCACAGGTGAGTCATTTCAGTCGAAATTACTTCACTCTAAGCAGAGCTTTACAAACGTCATCTAAGTGCTCCAGTGGTGATTTGCGGACTACAAACAAATACAACATTGGCAATCACCGTCGACGCGCGAGAACAAATAAAGGCAACTGACGTGTATCAAAGCGTGAGAGCATCCCCATGTGTACTCGTTACTAACCACAATTGGCGATCAATTCATAAAGTGCGCTATGCAGCTGGGGCGCAGACTAGTGACGTCGGGGGAATTTGGACAAAGATGCGCAGTTTGGCTTTCGGGTCTGCGTCATTCGATATTCGTACGTTTATTTAGCGAACACACAGGAAGACAAAGCAGTCTCTCAGAATAGCCTGTTTTCAAATGAGGGTGCCATTTTGCAGCTCTATCACGAACTATGCGAGTCCACCATTGCTTGCACACGCACTCTGGGTAGCAAGTCTGCGCTCTGAGCATATATTGGTTTGAAAGGCTGCGTCAGTGTTCGGAGAGAACTTGGCCATGATCAAATAAAAAAAGAGTACTGCATCAGCACTCGTAGAGGACTCGTATTCACTCACATGCTTTAATTGTGCTCAATAAATGCGGGCCACCAACGTTGTCTGATGGGATTTCTAAATCTTTTATCAGGAGAAAATTGGAGAAGCTTAGCCATTACGTTGCATGACCGGCGAATGCAAGACGACACCATGAAAACAACGCACTCTTTCAATTATTTCAGCGGCATCGGTAGTTCCTGCTTAATATCGGCCTTTCTATTAATGACACCTTTTTTTTCTGCGCTCTACGCTTTTCATTTGTCTTGTATATGAGCATGCAATGAAATTTTAACATAGTTATGCAGACGTGAAGCAGGGGCTAACAATCGTAATGCAGGTGATAATAATGTTCAATTAAGTATATGGCTAGACGACCACCCTTACAACGTAGTTTCTCTCGTTCTTTTCGGTGTCTTAGTTTGTCAAATTTGGAGCCCCTCTCCAAGCCATTTCTTTACGCACGCTTTTTTTTGCACTGCTGGAAGTGGGCTGCGGGCCGGGCTTCAAA